AACTCACGAGGCAGTGTAATTTAATTATACCCTGATACTGCTGTGATAAAGAGAAAATAAAAAGAGAGTGAAGAAAAGGAGTAAGTGAATTATACACTGATAGTGTTTAATATAAAAATAGAGAAAAATAGGTCGGCTTATCAACTGAATTCTAAAGTAATTGAATTGGCCTAAGTGGACTTTTGACAAGAAGAAGAGAACTGTATAGTATTTAAGATACAACTATGATATACATAGTGTAAAGAATTTTTTGTACACACATTTAACTTGTTTTGAATGTATTATTTAACAACAATTGGAGTGAGTGCTGTTCATTTATCATTGAATTAATCACCAACAAGCCACTGACACATACTGTAGAAGAATCCTTAGCCCAACACACACCCATACATAACATAAAAAGTAAGTTCCTGACATAACACAATAAATAGAGCACTCAGCTTCGCTAACTAGCCACAGGGATTTTTTCCTGCTAGGTGCCACCATTCTCTCACATTTTACTGATTGTAAGAAAACACTGCTACTGAATTGAGTGCTTTTTGACAGTTGACATTTCTATAATTGTGAAAGGGAAGATATTCAAATGAATTTATTTCACATGGTACAATAAACTAATACCAATGTGAAAAAAAAGATATATATGTATAATATACTCAGACATGTTCCTCTCTTTATGTATTTGTTTTTTCTTTCATGCTCCTACCTTTGAAATATATCTTTCAATCAGACGATGAAGGAAGTCTGTTTTTTTTTGTAAAATTCCTTCAAAAACAAACATTTTTGTTCTTAATAAGTTTATTTCATATTGACTGTTCAGCACATATGAAGACTGATGACTATCATTATGAAATTTTAGGAATTGCAAAAAATTAATGATTTTCCTATGATGTACTCTTGAAAAGAAATATTTTTGTCTTTTCTTTATCTACGGCTGACCATCCAGGAGATAGTGTAATTCAAAAATAATTGGCTATTAGGAGATACAGAGTGTAATTCAAAGATAATTGGCTATTATATATATATAGATAAATAGATTATGAGCAAGAGTAAATGAACATCAATTAATAAGGTATTGTTTCCTCTTAGCTATCTGATGATTACAAAGGATATGAACTAGAGTATTTCTGTGTTCCTCGGCATTATGAAGATTCTCTAGAATGTGTTTTAATCCCAAGTGGATTAATCCAAGATAGGTAAGTGTTGGTAAGAAAACTATTCACTCACTGTAATTCTTAAGTATGCCATATTAAATCATCATGGTGGAAATGTGTTTATTTTCAAACTTTTCTAAAGTACTTACTTTCCAAATTCACTGTCACTTTTTTTATTAGATTTCCTAATTGCCACAGCATAGATAGCCCAATGTGGAGTTTTGTAGTTTAAAATACAAAGTTGGTAATTGAGCAAAAAATATATCTTTGTACACCATACAACTTCGTGATGTTGCATATGCTTAATGATGCAAATCATTTTAAATATTGATGTGGGTTTCTTTGTTAAATGTAAAATGGTTATGAGTCAAATCATTTAATATTGTGTCATAACAGTAAAAAAAAAAAGTTATTTTTAATGCAGATATGCTGCTCTTGATCCTTATGTATCATTTGGTACAAAAACAGGTAATTCTGATATCTTGCCTCCTCTCATAAATAGTTTTTCTTGACTTGTACTGCTCTCTATATTCACAAATTTTTGTTTGCCACTAGCCTTGATACTCCCACCTACCCTCACATGTATTAATGCGAGACAACTGCATGCTATCATGCAAATGGTCATGCAGCAACCCTCCACCAGTAGGAGTGTGACACAACTCCTATTGTCACGAGAACTTCCATGCAGCCCTTAATCATTTCTCAATTGGTAGTTACACTACCAGGATATGTTCTCACTTGAGCTTTCTTACTGATTGTTTTCAGTGAATAGTGCCATCAGTTTTGTTGCTCAAGTATCGAATGTTATTCATAGGCTATTTTTTTTTCCAGGTTTTCACTGTTTCGGAATTGCTTTTGGAGCTTTGTTCCTCCTTTTTACCAGTTAAATCCACTCATTATGATCTCACTATTCCACGTCACAACTACCACTGCTGCTGTGATTACTACCATTGATCTTCCTGCCACTTCAATGTCATCAGAGCAAGCTGTATTGTCTCTGGTTTGAAAGGAGTTGGCTAATTTAATGCAGTCTTCTGCATTGCCTGATGTTTGTCCTCTCATACCATGTGCAGATATGCCTGACATGGGGATGAGGATTTGGGCAGCCTGTTTCCTCCTCCTTTCTATGCTTCACAGGCACATTTCATTTTGAGAAAGGTGTTTAGGTCTCCTCCTCCCTTTGTCAACTTAATTAATCAGGTTTGTTATATTTTTCCTTGTCTTCCATTTCTTATGGTTCCTCACCTTCCTCGGTGATTGGTTGGTGAGACAGTATCTCGTTTTTCCTCCCTCACTGGATATTGGAATTGCAGGTCGATTTGGGGACCAGTTACATTCCAGAATCAGTATGTAACATGACCACAATGTACACTGGACAAACATGCTTTGGCCTATTTTCGTTCTGTTTCCCTACCTTAACTTGCAATGATTTGTGTCACTTCTCTTTTTGTGGGGTTTGGACCCCAATACTTCAGTTTTCCTTCTCCCAGGCCCAGTTTTCCCTATTTTGACTCAGAATTTCCGGTTTTCTACTCTGGCAAGCCTCTCCCTTTTTTCCATTTACTTGCACATGAGGCTCCTCCTGTAGGATTGTGGTGCCCTTTTGTCTTGCTTGCATTTGCCTTCCTCCTCATTGCGTGTTTTGCATATGACTCCTTTTCTGAGCCAGGAATTTGGGGGGAACATTCCCAACTTTTTGGACACTGGAGTTGAGTCTGCACTGTTGCATACCTCCCTTTCCTCTTTGGCCTCCTTTTACTCCCACCCCCTACTGAACATATTCCCATGTTTTGCCCCCCTCCTTCCTCTCCCTTACCGGTTCTGGCCTCTTGTATTCCTGAGGTTTGCCATCAGTTCTTGGGGTACTACCTAGGGGCAACAGACTTTCTTGACGACTACATTGTTGGTTCAAGTCGTGAGGGCCAGGCTCCTCTGCTTTGCTCACATATGGAGGTCCTTCAACATGGATCCTGGGGTTCTAAGGGTTGTCACAGATAGTCTGGTCATCTTTTATGATTCTCCTTCTTTGTCCCAGCATCCAGTTTTCTTCCCTCCGCCTTGGGTTCCTGTTTCCAGCCTGTAGCTTTCGGAGGTGGTTTGGGACTTGCTTTGCAAGGATGCCATCATATGGGGGATTCCTCTCATCTGGGTTTTTAATCCCATTTGTTTGTCATCCCCAGGTAGACTAAAAACTGACACCCTGTCATCAATCTTTTGGCTCTGAACTGGTTCTTGGTCCTCTCACGTTTTACCTTTGAGTCATACTTAGCCCTTCATTGTGTTTTCACTCCTGGTCTGTAGGTAATGCTGGTTGATGTGTCGGATACATACCTACACATTCCCATCTCCCCTGCATCCAGACATTATCTTTGTTTTGTCCATTGGGTGTGTGTGTTTCAGTTCTGGGATTTTCCTTTTGGATTTGCCTCAGCTCCCTGTCAGGAGGTCTGGGCATTTGCCCATCTTCTTCATTTCTGGGGCCTTTGCATTTCCAGCATTACATGGCTGGCTATTTGTAGCTTCCTCACAGGCTGACTCTGCTCTTTATACTCAGGTTATTTTAAGAGAAGCAGCTTAGGCTGGTTGATTGGTGAAAGTGGAGAAGTCTTTCCTCATCCCCACACAAAACATAGTTCATCTTGGGGTGTTGTTCATTTCCCTACTCAGTCGGAGCTTCTAGTTTGCAGATTCTTATCCTTCACCCACTGCACAAGAGTTTCTCTCTCTTTTAGGGATGTGGACTTTTTTGGAAACCCTCGTCCATCTTGGTTGTACCCACATGCATTGACTTCAGTAGATTTACTTGGATCAATGGAGTCTTGTTCAGAATCCCTTGGATGCCCCTCTCTTCCTTACAGACCGACTTTGCCTGGTGGTTTGATTAAGATGACACTACTGCGGGTGTACCTCTTCCCCCTCCTCAGCCATAACATCATCTCTTTCCGATTGTGGTACCTGGCCACTTGAATGGTTTCAGGGTGATGGACTCTATTAGAGTCCTCTCTCCATATCAGTCTGTTGGAGCTCGTTGTCGTTGGGTCAGGCTTTCGTTCACATTCTTCCAACCATTCAGGGCTTGTTGGTGATAATGCATTCCGACAACTAGAGTGGTCTCATCCATCTCCAATCAAGGGGGCATTCGAGAGACCTCTGTTTTCAGACACTGAACATCCTATTCATTTTATGACTTGTCATATTCAGGGTGTCATGGATCACTTATCTCGTCCCCACAGGATTCTCCTTACAGAGTAGTCACTGAACCCACTGGGGTTTAGGTGGCTCTGTTCCCAGTGGGGTGTTCCATATTTGGATGCCTTTGCCACTTATCTCAATTCCCAGCTCCCATAGTGTTGGTCTCCTATTCCATCTCTATTGGCTGGAGCAGTAGATGTTCTCAGTCTGGCTTGGACAAGCCTCTACCTGTATGTCTACCCTACCATCCATCTGCTTCCCTGTATCCTTTCCATCATCCAGACCTCTCAGTGTCTTGTTCTTTTCAACCATGTTTCATTTCATACAATATGCTTGTGTCTACCATTCACCTGACCTTTCTCTTTTGTTTCATTCACTCCACCTCACCTGTCCCACTCACCCTGCCTCTCTCCCTGATTGGATCCTCACTGTCATCCTCCATGCCCTTACCCTTCCTCTGTTCAATCCTTTGTCAACCTGTTCCTTTCTCACCTCTCCTTATAGACTTTTTTTCCTTCTCCTGTTGATTGGCGGACATCATCGATTTGACATATTTGCTCCTGATGTCCACCACACCTTATTTCACTGCTCCTATGTGGACCTTTTCCCCAATCATTCTTTCCTGCCCAAAACTTTGGCTGCTTGGGAGAGTAATTCTGCTTTCACATCCAACTCCCTTCTTTTCATATCACACCTTCATGACTATTCTGGCACTGCTTGCTTCCTGTGTCCAGTCAGGGCTCTCTGCTGGTTTCATTTGTATATTCCTTGGTATCACTCCCAGTCCCGTGACCTTTCTTCTATTCCCCTTATGGGTTGGATTTGCAAGCTTCGTCACCTTACTTATTCTTTCCTTTCACCAGATGTTCGATGTCTTTTCCTTGTCTCTTCATATAAAATCCTTTACTTGACCATGTCCCAGTCTGCTCATTTCTGTCATCCAATGGAGGACATCATTCATGTCAATATGTTGAATACTCCTCATATCTTCACTGATCATTATCTTCACCACCTGGCTGTTTCTTGTTCTATGGGTTTTTGTCTTCCTCTTGTCATCATTTTTGTGCTCCATGATTTTTCTTTAAAGGGGTAAGTGGTCCTTTCTTCTTTTCTCTTTTTGCAGGGGCCCTTCTTTGCATCTTAAGATTCTGCTTTTTGGTGAGTTTTGTCTGACCAGGTATACTTATTCTGTGTGTCAAATATGCCCATTGTTGAGATGTGGTGCTCCACAAGAACACTTGTAGATATTCCTTGTAGTATTTTGCTTCATAAAGATGTTCACCCCAGACTGTTCACTCATGGACTAACATGAGTAAAGCAGATAGAGTTTGCTGCCCATACCTGATGATCCATGTCTTGTAGATCTGCTATTAAAATAAGGTGTTGTGGTCACCCATTGCTCTGTCTCTAGTGCAGCATTCCTCCAGTCTCTACAACACACTGTTTCCAACATTCTTCTAGTGGAGTATGGGAGTCCTTGCAACTTACCAGTTTCTAGCTACTGGGGTGGTGGACCATGGAGTCTTCCTCCTGAGTGTTCTCAATCCTCAGTTGAAAGTAGGATGGTGGCTTTCTGCTGGTGTGGATGCATTGACCTGATGTATAATTCCAGATGCCATCAAGTGGTGGACAATACATTCTACCAACATGCAGTTTGCTCCTCTGACTGAGTCACCCTTCTTCCTACCATCCTCTGGCAGATATGGTGATGGTTGGAGCTATACCAGCCACATAAGTCCTCACGAAAGTAGCCGGGGACTTTCCTCCAGTTGTGGACTGGATGATACATTCCTAATTCCACATGGTGATGAACTGGAGATGCACCCCCACTTTAATGTCCCCCTAAAGTC